AGCCCTTTATTCAGAGGTAGTGTTTATCTTTGTTGCAGAGGTATGTTTCTTTTATGCAGCAGAATGTTGGTTCCTGTTTCCGCAACCATTCTGTTAGTATGTGTCTTTTTATTGGAGACTTGAGTCCATTGATGTTGATAGATAATATTAAACAAAGAATGTTAGTTCCTTTTATTGTGGAGTTGGTGGTCTTACTGTGTTACACTGCTTGTTTTCATTTAATTTTTTGTTGTGAGGTTATCTATATCTTATGTTTTCTTGAGTGTAGTTGTTTTCATTGGATTGGAGTTTTCCTTTTTCCTTGTAGTATCTTTTGTAGGGCTCAAGTGTTGTGTACATTTGTTTATATTTAGTTTTGTCATGGAATATTTTGTTTTCTCCATCTTTGTTGACTGAAAGCTTTGTTGGGGAGAGTAGTCTGGGTTGGCATCTGTGGTCCCTTAAAATCTGCATGACACTTGCCCAGGCCCTTCTGGATTTGATAGTTTATGTTGAGAAGTCTGCTGTGACTCTTATAGGTATACCTTTACATGTTACTTGGCCTTTTTCCCTTGCTGCTTTTAATATTTTTTATTTGTTCTGTAGGTTTAGTGTTTTGACTATAATGTGACATGAGGAATTTCTTTCCCGGTCTAGTCTAATTAGTGTTCTATAGGCTTCTTGTATGTTTATGGACATCACTTTAAGTTTGGAAAATTTTCTTCTACAATATTCTTGAAAATATTTTCTGGATCTTGGAGCCTGAAATCTTCTTTTTTATCTATTTTTATTATTCCCAGGTTTCATCTTTTCCTGGCATCCTTGATTTCTTGAATGTTTTGTGATTTGACGAATTGAAATATCCATTGATTTTGGGGGGTGCTGGTGAAGCCATAGTGAAGCCTGGTTTTTGTTGGGTATGGATTTTTTTAACTTTTATTAATTATACTTTATTCCCTTTGTATCCCCCCATAAATACCTCCCTCTTCCTCTCCCAATCCCACCTTCCCTCCCCCTTCTTCATGCATGTCCTTCCCCAAGTCCACTGATAGGGGAGGTCCCCCTCTCCTTCCTTCTGATCTTAGTTTATCAGATTTCATCAGGAGTGGATGCATTGTCTTCCTCTGTGGCCTGGTAAGGCTGCTCCCCCCTCAGGGGGAGGTGATCAAAGAGCAGGCCATCAGTTCATGTCAGAAGCAGTCTCTCTTCCCATTACTATGGAAGCCACTTGGACACTGAACTGCCATGGGCTACATCTGTGCAGGGGTTCTAGGTTATCTCCATGCATGAGAACATGAGACTTTGAAAGACAGCTGTGTTCAAATTTTCTGGTTCGGATGCTCTCCTTGTGGAGTTCCTGTCCTCTCCAGATCTTACTATTTCCTACTTCTTTCATAAGATTTCATGCACTCTGCCCAACAGTTGGCCATAAGTCTCAGCATCTGCTTTGATAGTCTGCAGGGTAGAGGCTTTCAGAGGTCCTCTGTGGCAGGTTTCTAACTTGTTTCCTGTTTTCTTCTTCTTCTGATGTCCATTCTCTTTGCCTTTCTGGATGGGGATTGGGCATTTTAGTCAGGGTCCTCCCTCTTGATTAATTTCTTTAGATGTACAGAATTTAATAGGTTTATCCTATATGATATGTCTATATGAGTGAGTATATACCGTGTGTGTCTTTCTGCTTCTGGGAGAGCTCACTCGGGATGATCCTTTCCACTTCCCACCATTTACCTGCAAATTTCATGATTTCCTTATATTTCATTGCTGAGTAATATTCCATTCTGTAGATATACCACAGTTTCTGCATCCATTCTTCAGTTGAGGGGCATCTGGGTTGTTTGCAGCTTCTGGCTATTACAAATAAAGCTGCTACAAACACGGATGGGCAAATGTCCTTATTGTGTACTTGAGCCTCTTTTGGATATATGCCTAGGAGTGGTATGGCTGGATCTTGAGGAAGCGCTATTCCTTCTTGTCTGAGAAAGTGCCAGATTGATTTCCAAAGTGGTTGTACAAGTTTACATTCCCACCAGCAGTGGAGAAGGGTTCCCCTTTCTCCACAACCTCTCCAGCATGTGTTGTCACTTGAGTTTTTCATCTTGGCCATTCTGATGGCTGTAAGGCGAAATCTCAGGGTCGTTTTGATTTGCATTTCCCTGAAGGCTAAGGACAGTGAGCATTTCTTTAAGTGTTTCTCTGCCATTCGATATTCCTCTATCGAGAATTCTCTGTTTAGCTCTGTTCCCCATTTTTTAATTGGATTACTTGGTTTGTTGCTTTTCAGCTTCTTTAGTTCTTTATATATACTGGATATGAGTCCTCTGTCAGATAAAGGGTTGGTGAAGATTCTTTCCCAATCTGTAGGCATTCGTTTTGTTTTGATGACGGTGCTCTTTGCTTTACAGAAGCTTTTCAGGTTCATGAGTTCCCATTTATTGATTGTTGCTCTCTCCTGGTGCCACCATCTTATCCCTCCCGTTGGGTGTCTTCTTAAAATGACCTCTGGTCATCTGCTTATCTGTAACCTTCACTGTTTGTTCCTGGAGTCTGTACTTCAAACTGGGTCCTTCTTTCTCTGGTGTCTAGTGTATTCTTCAGGAAGATGGGAGAGGTCCGCTGGTTTGAGAATGTGTGTTGGTGTTTCAGCTCTACTTAATGGAGGTAGGGCCACAGGCACAGATGCACAAGTGTGTGCAAGCAACCGTGTACGTGGAAGTGTGCCTTGAAGGACAGGATGTAGATGCTTGGAATGTGAGAAGGCAGGGGGTGGGAGGGAGATGAAGGTGCAGGAGGGAGTGTGGATGCTTATTGGGCGCAATGAGCATGCTCAGATTCCCCGAGTACCTCAGTGGCCTATAGGCCTGTCATACTGTCCTTCTGTTATTCAGATCTCTCTGGGCTCCAGGAATTGTTCGCCTGAACTCAGCTGGCAGATCCACAGAACAGGGGCTTCAATGTTGAGAATGCTGTCCTAAGAATGCCTATGTTGCCCACAGTGGATGTGTGGGTGGGAGGAATCTGATGTCTGGTTGCCAGCATAGAGGGACCCTGGATCTGGGGCTCTTCACATACATACTTGAAGGCACACTCACTCTATAGCAGATTTAATTGGAAAGCGCAGGGGTTCCCCCTGTTCTTTACTCTCTGATTTGGGCCTACTGGAGCAAATGCAAGTGTAGGCGATCTGTCAGCTCAGCGGTGCTACAGTCGCAGAACATGGAGGCTGGTATAGCTGCCCGCTGGGAATACAGTCACAGTGGCAGAATCTGGGAGTCCAGATGCCTTCTGGGAGGCCGTAGGGAGCCACGGCCCTGGTTGGCCTGGTGGACCTGGGTGGCCCGTACAGCTGGCAGCCAGGCACTGAGGGACTGGGAGACCTGTATTCTCTGTCTCAGATACCAAGTAGGGAGTTCTGTGCTAAGAGCCAAAGAGGAGGGAGAAGGGAGGCCTGTCAAGGAGAAGTACAGAGGGATCGAATGGAATGTTCGCCACTCTCAGTCCCCAGGTGCCCTTGGTCCAAATGGTCTCAGCTTAATGGTTGTCCCCTCTTGCCCTGAAAACCTCGATGTCGATGTTCTGGCTTCAGCTGCCCCTCCACTCACCAATTTCGGAGTTTCAGATTCTCTTCCCCTCAGATACGGTGCACACTGGTCGCTGCCTTCTTGGATTGCTCCCTTTGTTTGTCTTTTATCAATTACAAAACTTTTAAATGAAGTTCATAAGAGGATTATTGCTTAGAGGTTTTTAAGTCAGTATAAGTGTTATTTATATATACAAAATGATTTCAAAAAAATGAATAGAATACATCAGCTTTTCCAAAATACTGAAATCTGAAAAAGTCTAGGCTTTGTTAGTAATCTTTCTTCTTAATTTTACATAATGTCTGTTCTTAAAATGCGTGCATGTTAAAACAGTAGAATCTCTATAGCAGTACATTAAGAAAAGCATAACCCATTATGTATTACCATCTCCCACACACATCTATTCAAACAAATGAGAAAATTTCTTTTTTCCTATGTGACTTTTTTTCCTTGAGACAGTATCTCCTATGTAACTGAGGCTGGCCATGACCTCCAGATACTCCTGCCTGAGACTTCTGAGCACTGAGATTATAATTACACAGCACCACATCTACTTGCCTTCTGTTATCCAATGAAATTGAAATTTTCACTGATGTTTTTCTCCCATGCCATTAAAGCCTTTTATACCTGGTATGTGTGTTAGGTGAGAAGGGTAGAAATTTAGAAGGGAGGAATAAAAAAAGATCACTTTATAATCAAATATGACTTTTTTAACTAAGTCTTAATTTCAAATACTGTCACACAGTACAAACATGTTCTCCCAGTATATAACAGCCACAGCTTAGGGTCAGAATATAATTGCCATTTTCTCCTATGAAATAAAAACTTCAAAATTTAAATCCTATTTCTTGTTTTAAGAAAATGCAGAAATTTCTGATATTTTCCTACTCAAAAATATCACCACAAGATGAAAAGGAAAACACAAGACAAAAGAAAGACTACAGACTTCAGAATCAAGGTAGCTTTGAATTCAAGTTCAAAACCTGTCAGCCTCAGCCACTAAACATAAGCTTGGGCTAATTACTATCTCTGAGTCTTAGTTCTGCTAATTATAAGATATGGACACTAATAACTAGCTCACAGAGCAGCACTAAATAAATAAATAAATAAATGAAGGAATATACATAAATAATCTCAAAAACAGCTTGGTAACTAGCACATGTTTTACAACTGTTTCATTCTTCCTTGATGTTGATTTATTACAATATGTGATAATAAACACTCTTTATTAAAAACAGGTCTCATTCATTGTCTTTGAATATGAACAATAGCATAAATTTTCCCAATGAATCAAAAACAAGACAGATCATGTCTGGCTTGAGTATGTATGGAATACAGTATCCTCAGCTCAAGAAAATAATCTCAACTGAAGATAACTATTTACTCCACACCCTGAAAGTATACAATAAAAAGATAGCAACCCCAGACTATACCCTTATCTACCTTGGCTGGTTGTCCACAGTGAGGCTCTCTCCTCTCTGATAGCTACTGTCTGCCACCTGGGTAGTTGACCTCTTCACAATCTGCTTTAGCTCCTGCTCCAAACGATCTTTAATGGCTTTTACTGTCTCAGGAATCTTCTTTAGTCTGGCCAGCCCCTGAATAAGGATTCCCATGAAAAGTGTGCTGTTCTCCTCCGGATCACACTCCGAGTCCTCCTTTATGTCTTGCAGGCTCATCTCCCTCGCTACAAAAGAAAAGAACAGCAGATACATTAGATCCAGTTTCTACATTAATTCAACAACACAGCAGACTAGTAAAGATCACTGCTTTGATTATTCTCTTAAAGTAATCAGAGAAATTTTCTATTAAGTTACATAGTAATATGCAGCAGCCCTCAATTCAAACCAATTGGTTAGTAAGCAATTATGCAGGGAGACGTAAATCTCCAATTTTACACAGACTACTTTGACCCAAGTCTGCTGAGAAATTAAATACATGTTGTACTAAAATACAATATGTGGTGTTCAGGCTCAAACAGAAGCCTCAACTTCCTACTCATTATTTAGAAGTAATAAACAGCAGGACTAAAAGATTATATAAATATATGTAGGGGCAAAGGTACATAACTACAAAAAATAAAAAAGAAATTAATAGAAATATACGTAAAACACACATGAGAAGAGTTTGATGGAAAAAAATAGTGAAGAGGGACTAAATAACCAAAAAGGCCTCACACTTTTCTTAAACACATGTGTGAGTGGGCATGGTGACCCATACCATGTAATCCCAGCAACCAGGGACTTGAGACAAAGGGACACCAAAACTAAGCCTGGCTAAACAGCAAATTCCAGCCAGCCTAGCATACATAATGAGGCCTTAGAAAAGTGAGTGAGAAAAAAAGAGACTGTATCTGTGTGTATATATGTGTGTTATTATCTTTGAAAAGCCTTTATAGTAATCAACTAAAACCTTCTGACAAGTTGTAAGCCAAGATTTAATACCCCGATAGATATTTACACCCAAACCATCTGGTCTCAAAAAGGAGGAACTAGCCTAAAACAGAAGCAGTTCTTAACCCCCAAGATCAGTTGGGAAAATGGTTAGCTCATGATTGGAGAACCTTTTCCCTACTAAAACCACATTATAAAAGCCACATTATGGCTGGAGAGGTGGCGCATCAATCATGAGGACTGCAGTCTGTGTTCTAACATCCATGTAACCTATATACCCTGCAAATGCCTATAAGTCAAACAAAGACAAGACAGCAAAGCTCCAAATTAAACCAGCATCTATTATGAGCATGCTTCTCAACTACACATCTATATAACCATAAAGGTTCTTTATTCACAGCATTCATTATTATAATGGCAGCATGTGCTCACCAACACATGAACAGATTAGTGAGCTCTATCAACAGTGGCACGTCACTCCACTTTAAAACTAGGAAAACCTGACACACTACAATATGGATGAATCTTGAATACATCATGGTAAGTAAAATAAGACTGTCACAAAAGATAAATACGTAATAATTTGATTTATAATGAGATACTTAGGGTGTTCAAAATCCTAGAAACGGAGTAGAAGGTAAGTTGTCAGAGACAAGAAGGAAGGAAAAAGACTAGTTACTTTTTAATAATGAGTTTGTGTCATAGAAAAATGAAAACAGTTAGGCAGATAGATTAGGATATTGTCTGCACACACTACAAATATACCTAACACTACTGATCTATACATTTTAAATGACTAAAATGCTAGCGTAATGATGTGTATATTTTAACATAGAATATTCACCTAAATATGAACCAAAGGTATTTTATTAACATGTAAAATATAATTACTTACACAAGCTCACTCTTACGACAAATCCTCTACATATTTATCTGAAATGTCTTATTAGACTCCCAGAAAGTCAGAGAAACTACATTCATAGGACCTCCTTACAATAGAGTACTTGATGGCACAGTACTCAATAAGCATACTTTTAATACTAATGAAACTGCAAGTAAAACCCAAAGGCTTAGCCTTGAAAGATGAAAATCTGAAGACAAGTTATAAAACATCATCAATACTTTCAAATGTAATGTTATAAAAACTTAACATTTCAGCTACTGGTTTTGTTTTATACATGAAGTAGGTTACCTCAGGCCACAGAAATAATCTATCTAGCAAATCCAACTTCACAGCAAAGCTACGAAAGTACTCAGCAGCAGGGAGCCATCTCAATTCAGCAAGGAATAATAGGAAATGAAGCTGAACTACAAGAGCTTCAGGCAAGAAGAAAAGTAATAGAAATTTACCTGCTCAAAATGCTCTTTGTAAAAAGTGCACCTATGAGTCACAAACAGGATACATACAAAATGCCACATAAACATAACAGCTACCTGCCCAGGGTGGGTGATGATGAGGTAAACATAGTTTAAGTCAATATGGCCTGCAATGACATGGCAATATAACTATTTATATGCACACTAATATATGAGCTGTCTCATAAAAAAACAACACATAACCAAGATTTAAATAATGAACTGCTATGGCCACAAACAGCCCATCTCTTTAAAAACGAAGCTTTCTAGATGCTAAGACTCACAGCCAAACTTTGGGCAGAGTTCAGGGAATCTTATCAAAGAATGGGAACATAGAAAGACCTGGAGGGGACAGGAGCTCCACAAGGAGAACAACTCAACCAAAATATTTGGGCCCAGGGGTCTTTTCTAAGATGGATACTTCAACCCAGGACCATGCAAGGAGATAATCTAGAACCCTGCTCAGATGTAGCCCATGGTAGGTCAGTCTCCAAGTAGGTTTCCTAGTAAGCAGAACAGGGACTGTCTCTGACATGAACCCAGTGGCCTGCTCTTTAATCAACTCCCACTGAGGGGGGAGCAACCTTACCAGGCCATAGAGGAAGACAATGCAGCCAGTCCTGATGAGACCTGATAGAGTAGGGTCAGAGGGAAGGGGAGGATGACCGCCCCCATCAGTGTTCTTGAGGAGGGGCAGGAGAGGAGATGAGGGAAGTAGGGTAGGATTGGGAAGAAATGAGGGAGGGGGCTACAGCTGGGGTACAAAGTGAATAAACTGTAATTAATAAAAAATAAAGTAATCGAAAACTAAAAATAAAGCTTTCTGTTGTCTCCTAAAATATCTTAGAGCATAAACACTTAATAGATCCAATATTAAATGGTTTATATTACTATTTCACCTATGTCAGCTGAAAATTAAAAGGCAATGTAAAAAGGCAATCTAACTATGACTAGTGAAATATTCACAAATATCTACAAGGTCAAAGAGCATTGCCAGGAAAAAAAAAATGTAGAAATAATTTAACTGAAATTCAATAAGGCTTCACACAACAATCAAAACAGACCAGTGCATCTTTCCAAATTCCTGAAGTCCACATCACTCCCAAGCACCTGATTTGCTTTTGTGGCTATCCAAATTATAGGCATTAGACATATTAAAGGTAGAAATATTTTATACTCATCTCCAACTCTCTTGCCCTTGAATTATATCTTGTTCTAAAGATCCTAACGACTGAAGATGAATCAAATATAGCTTTAAGACTCTTACAACCTGATTGGATAATTCTACATACTAAAAATTGGGAATGACTTTCACATTATTGGTTCTATAATCCTGCTGGTTCCAGTATTTATTACCCATACCACTTTGTTTATACAGACCTATGTGTACAGATATCAACAGCTGAGAGCAAACCTAGAATCATGGAAGAGGGTTTCACTCAACTGGATTGGTGAAAGATTTAAGGGGTAGATATCTAAGACTTTTCCAAACTCTAGAATTCCACATTTAGATTAACTATGCATCTCTGGTCGCATGATTTAGAGCCAGTTATACCTGTATTACAGGCGGCACACATTAAAAAAAAAAAACAAAAAAAAAAACAAAAAAAACAGTAAGTCCCAGGCATGATGGCACACACCAAAAATAATTACAAGTTGGAGACTACCCAAGGGTATACAGAAAGACACTATCCCAAAAAAATAACAAGCTAACAAGGTGAATAATCATGGCTCTGCAAATGAGTATAGAAAACAATCTGGACAATCAACCTATGGCTGCTGTTGGTCTTCAATATTCGTAAGATAAATTCAGCAATTTGTATCATGGCTTACCACACACATCATAAAACTGAAAAAGCAAGGCCCTTTCATTCACTATCGAATATGCCGTATCACATCATTTAGCACTGCTGTTTGTACAAAGTTAATTAGAACATGATATAATGGCAGTGTTTACTATAGGAACTCTTGACAGATACCACTCATGATACTATGCAAAACATACAAAGTTAACACATAGTAAAAAATTTCAACCCATGTCATTTGAATTACATGTTATATTTATACAATATAAGTTCCATGTAATAACTGTCTGACATTATTAAGGAGAATTCAATATAAAAAGGAGTCTTTGTAACAACAATTAATTTTAAAAAAGGAGGGGCATGAATTTGAAAGAGAGAAATAAGGGTACACAGAAGTATTGGGAGGAGTAAGAAAACAAGGAAATGATAATTATAATATGATCTCAAAAAATAAAAGAAAAATAAGAAGCCTTCAAAAAGTTTGCCAAGCCCATTTAGACCACTAAACTATCAAAGAAATTACCTGTCTATAATGCTACACCACAGATGGGAACCTAGCAAAACTAGCAATATTTTTGAAAACAGTAAAACCTAAAAAAAAAAAAAAAACCCACTAAAATACAATTTGTGTGCTTCAAAACCACATTTGAATTCATATTCCTAAGATATCCAATTTGTAATTAATTACACATAAAGTATAATTTCAGAAAATGAAAGGAAATCGTCTGACTCAAAATCTAAAATAACACTGTTGAAAAAAAATGCAGTGAATGAAGCCTGTGTGTAAAGCCAGTGATCTGATGGAAAGACAGACAGAAGAACGGTGGGTTTGGCCCATATGTGTTTACAGATACTTAATGTGCTCCGCTGGCATGACAAATCCATTCACTACAGGTACTGCAAACCCAAGACCAAATCAAGCTCCTACCTTCTGCTAGAAGGCTACTGGATCTATCCAAATCCTCATCCTCCATTCTTATCTCTGTGGAAATTCTTACTCAAATATGTGTCTTAGATACCACTCCATTCACCAGTATGAATTACTTCTTCCATGTTTTGTTCTAATGAATGTACCCACTGGTGGAGGAGAACTGTAACTGATGCACTGGTTGCCTCTGGAGTACAGAATCTTG